GAGAAAGAATTTTACGAACATATTTCTGTTTCGAAAGCTTGGTGTTGGTGTTGATCACTACTATCGAAGTCACAGCGACATTTTGCCTCGTTGCTGGCGTAGGGAGAGTTCGAAGAATGAGAAGGATGAAGTACGCGATGTACGCGGGGAGACTCGTAGAAAAATCCAGAGGTAGAATAAAAGGGAGATAGAGAGATTCAGGGGGTCGAATCGACGAGGGGTTGAGCGATTACTCACCACGATCCTATCCACCCCAAACGGGCGTGGTTGAAGATGGAGTGGGGTACTTTCGTTCCTCGACAACGGTTCGTCTGCTACTGCTGCTGTTGTTTCAATGTGCAGAATTCTTTGGTGCCAGCCGGGCCTCTGTCTATCTTGCCGCTATTTTTGAAAAACAATGTCAAAAGAGATTTATTAGACCAGCGCGAAAGCCCTGAACGAGAAATGTTTGAGATTTTATACATTATATTTTTTTTAGATTTTATTCGTAACGACAACGATCTCTTCGAGCTTGAAGTTTTGTTCTAGTTTTTTTCCAGGTTTATTTTCCTTTTTCTATTTCTTTTCTTACGAAAAAATTTTTCAGGGAAGAATTTTCTAGAATATCTTATTTTAAAAGACACCTTTGGCGATGATAATGTGCTATAGGTTTAAAATTAGTGCATATGTCACCAAAAGAACCATAAAACAGCAGTAATGGTTGAAGGAAATAAGATAAAGGTAATTGGGGCAAACAAAAAAAAATGGTAAAAAGGTCGCATGCTCTGTTTTCTTACAATACCTTACAAATTTATGGTCTGGTATAGAGAACACGATCTCTTTATAGTATTTTCTTACAAATAGTATTTTTCGACATTGAACATTTAACATTGATATTTAACATTGAAGAAATATCTCTTCGTTCGGATAATATACTGTCAGAAAAGTTCTTAAAAATAATAGCATTTTTGTAAGTAAAAGACCCGAGATAAATTTAAGAATTTGATATTAAAATTCATAATAGTGAAGATTTTCGTAACATTAGGATTATTAGTTACAAGTTAGTTATAATATTTCAGATTTCTTATGAAATCTAATATTTTCTATCTTATATTTCATGTTTTCTTATTAAATTTCATATTAAATTATGAAACATTATAACATGTTATGATATGTTAGAATAATTTTTCTAAATATATCATAAATACGAGACTGTTTTAGTCACGTAGTCTGAAAGATTTAGCTTGCAAAGTATCGTGGTTTTTATTGAGATTTCAACGGAGTTATCCAAAAGTTTTTGTTATCGCAAAAGTTGTGCAACTATGTGTTATTAAAAATATAATATTAATTTTACTATTACTTTTCATAACAAAGTTATGTAAAAAACTTCACGTCCCAGTTATTAAATTTAATACAAAGTTTTCTAACAATGTATTTGTGCTTGGGCGAAATTGAAAATCCCGATATTCCGTATCAAGTCGGTGCAAAAGTAAAATAAAACTAAATAAAAAATGTATGAAATAATAGAATTGAATGAAAATGTAAAATAAAATAAGTCATACAATTTCGAAGGATCAATAATTTTCATCACCTAAAGTGATCGTCAATTCGGGATTTCTTCAAATGGCGAATGAGAATTTGATAGAAAACGGACAATTTTTTCTGCATTTGCTTTTAGCAACAAAATCTGATCAATGCGAGATGCGAGCTGCTCTGCACGATTCGACGAACTCAATTTTCTCGAAGGGTTGCGAGATCCGTGTTGACTGTCACTTGCACAACACGTAGCAACTGTTCGCAATGCAAAACAAAGTCGATTCAAGGTTTAACAATAAGCTGGCCTTGAAAAACTCGAGCAACTGTTAATGCAGGATGTCCCACATTAGATGCGTCTCACGTATCGTACCCCTTCGACAGGTCAATGTGGTCAGCAAAAATAGAGCAAAAGGCAGCTGATATCCTTTTCGAAACTGAACTTTCTATTTTTTCAAAAGAACGGCAAACTTCGTGTTAGCTCTTGTAAGAATTTACTACACTTTTTTATTTTTAAGTAAAATAGAACGAAAAATAACTTCTTCACGGTCACTTCTGCTATTTCTAAATAGGGCGAAAAGTAACAACTTAAAATTTCGTGCAACTTCTCGTTTTATTATATCAATTTTTCTCGTTCTCGTTTTATTATATCAATTTTTCTCATTCATGTGATGCAATATCACTTTATACTAGACCAAGACGAAATCATTAATTTGTCGCAAATTTTTATATGGATATCAGAAAAAAGGAGCGAAAGGAAAGATAAATTATTTAATTTTTCTATTCTCTCTTTCTCTCTCTCTCTCTCTCTGTTTTATTCTCTTTTCTTATCTTATTTCTTATTACATTCTTATTCTTACTTTCTACCTCTTACTTTTTTCCTTTTTCCCTAGAATTATTTCTTACTCAGCGCGGTTTGTCTTAACGCATCATCATTGTCTTTTTGTTTAATGCATAAGGAAATTCAACTTATCAAATTTCTGTTCCGTTATACCAGGTTAAGAAACCTTATCGCGATTGGTTCTCAAACAGAGCCCATTCAACCCTCAGAGAATATCGAGCGCCCCAGACGACTAATAATACCATTTTGGCTTGCGCCTGAAAAAATAATATCGTACTACGACAGATACTAGGTGCCACAGAAACGCCAATGAGAACGATTGACTTATCCTAGATCAGAATATTTTTCCGAAATTGTGGCTTCTTTCACTCTGGGAGATGCGCCATCACGCACTAACAGAGATTATTCCATCATGGCGATCACGCGCAATAAAACGAGTTTGTCTCTTTCGGCCGGCCGAGGAAGGGTTGCAACTGTCGCGCGAATTGCCGCCCTTCGACGAGACCATGCTCGCTTTTCTCGTCGCGGAGAGCTGCCGACAGGAGCTGCGTGAGTCTAAAAGTTCGGTAGCTCGATATTCCACTAGTGACGAACAAATTGAGAAACTGCGCTAAATCCTATAATAAAGAAATACCACGACAGAGAAATGAAACGGCTTGGAATTTTTACCTGTCCTTGAAGCTGACCTTTGTAATCGATAATCCTTTTCAAAAACCTTCCATGTATTTTGGATTAAACCGGCGAAGCTTCGAGACCCTTGAAGCGAGAGTGAATTTTCGAATAAAACTCCCGACCAAACACTACATATATGTTATTTTTTATTTATTATCCACTACATTGATTACATTGAGAGAAATTATTCGATAAGAAATTAACAAGCGCATATTTCCGATCAAAATACAGATGAATTTTTGTATCCGATCAGAAACATCCGATAAGAAGTATCGGTTCATAATTTTAATATCGGTGTATAATCGATTTTTGATCAGAAATATCCGTACATTAATTTTTGCCGAATAATTTCTCTCAGTATGTGTAAATATAATATAATTATTATAGAATAATCCTTCTCGCTCTCTTTTTCACACGTATGTGTACGAAAAGAATTATCCGTTGCTGTCTGTTTATAAGAGTCATTCTACATTAGCAAGTCTCAAGGTCGCATGAAAATTAAGCAATCACAGTCAATTCTTTAATCGTAAGAGGAATGATTGACTGTGATTGGTAAATTTTCTTATTATCTTGCGATTTGCAACTAATGTAGAATCGGCCTTACATGTTATGTGTCGAGACAAACGATGTGATAACCGAACAGTCGCTTCGACGAATCCCGATAAATACATGAAAATCATTCAAGAGTCCCACGAGAGATGGACAATTCGCAATCATCTACGCAAACATTTGAATTCGCGTTTGTTTAAACGGCAAACGTCTCGGCGGTCTAATCCTCTTTGTACGCGGGTAATCATTCAGCGTCTTCAAAGTGACAAGAAGAGCGGAGTAAATTCTATGTCGTAGAATTACGCAAACAAGATCACCCGACAAATATATCTGTCTCCCTGTCTGTCTGTCTGTCGAGCACGAATCGCATTTCTGCTTGTGTGAAAGCGCGTGTCTGCGAATAACAATTTCGCCCGGACATCGTGCGACAATAATTCGCGCGAATGACGAACGCGTTATGGAATGAACAACCATGATAAATGAACTACGAGATCTATCCGACGATGTTCCATTTGTTTACACTTTGGTCTGAAGAATGTCGATTGTAACGAGCCGTTTATCGAGCGCTTAACAAGCTCGCGTCTAACGCAAAATTCACAAAACTGCGACGAAGAGCGTCGACGAGATTCTCAGTTTCCGTCACTTTCTTTCTTCTCGTTTCTTTTTATCGTCACGATTATCTTTGTCTCATTAGCAGTGCCATTTTGAATGACACGCGCCTGACGTCTGAGGCGCAAGTTTTTTTTGGTCATTAGTTTTCTTCGCAATCGACGTATCTTAAACGAGATACAAACACCAACCTGTCCTCTGTGATGTAACGAGGAGATTTTCTTCAACGACCCTCAAACAATCGTTCGATCGCGACATATTTTCTCACGCGAGCAGTCGAAAAAGTTGCCCAGATGGTGTCAGATATTCGAGACAATTCGTTCGCCGCGATAACATTTCATCGGTGATCGCTTCCGCGCTCCTTTGAAACTTCGCTAACTTCGCGAATTGTCATTGAAACGATAAAGCTCAAGTGACGACTCGTCGTCGTCGTAGTATTTCGAAATTCCGAGTGAGACACGCGCCGGGATCGTGACAATAACTAGAAAAAATTGTACGGTAAATGGGAAGATACACAAGTGGAAATTTCGACCGGCAGACGCGTGTGCGTCACGTGGAATAAAACGGGTGAGACGTGTGAACGAAAGAGCGAATAAATTCATAAATGAGTTCATGAATGAACTGGACGAGAGCTCGCGCGATGCGAAATATCGCTGATACCAAATCAGAGCATAGAGAAATCATCTGATAAAGCACCAACAAACGGATATTTCTGATCAAAATACCGATGAATTTTTGTATCCAATCAGGATATCTGATTAAATTTAATCGGATCATAATGACATCCTAATCAATAAAAAAATTATGAACCGATATTTCTCATCGGATGTTTTCTGATCGGATACAAAAATTCATCGGTATTTTGATCAGAAATATCTGTTTGTTAATTTCCTATCAAATAATTTCTCTCGGTGCGATTTCTCAATATTACATGGCGATTTCGGAGCGAAACGGCGCGGAGGCTGCGAGTCGTCAATCGATGCAACGAATTCGCGCAAAAATGGGGATTTTAATTGCGCACGCGAGATTTTCGCTTCTCGCTGGCAAAATACAAGGTATCCTTGCCGATTACGATAACGATAATAATTATTAGATTTGCTTTCCATGTTTGAGCCGCGTGGATTCTTCTTTGTTTGATTCTGACATTTCGCGAACATTTCTGTCCCTTTCATTAGGGAGAAACGACCTGATGTCTAGATATCGAGTATACTTCATCATCAGGTCGTTTCTCCCTAATGAAACGGACTGAAATGTTCGCGAAACGTCGAAATCCGACAAAGAAGAAATCACACGGCTAAAATGAAAGTAAATCTGATATTCATGGACACCGTAAAAGCCTCAAATATCAAAACGATAACAATGTTCAGCCACGTGTAAGCATCAGGCTTTTCATATTCGCGCTATGGCGAGAGTCAGAGGATTTTGCACGCGAATTCGTATTGCGCGACGAAGAGAATTGATCAGCTGATTCGTGCGCGAAAGAAGCGAGATTTTTCTTCAGAAAAAGATAACTGAAGGAAACAGAAGCTGTCAAAGCTCGCGTCATGATTTCTCTTCAGCGCTAATTATTCGCGATAATTCATTAATTAATTACACGCCTTTTAATGCGTGCCTTTCCTTCTCATTCAGATTCAAACTTATTATTTTCAATTCAGTTTATAGAATTTGCGAGTTGCGAGATCGATTTCTCGTCTCATTTGCGTAACCTGCTCCTGTACTGCTACACGTGTACCAAAGTGCTTCGTGTTCTCATAAGTTAATTGATAAACAGAAATAATTAATTAATTAATTAATAACGAGCGACTTTAAGGGCAAAGGTTTGGAATCACCACGCTTCGCGGAGAGTTTCGAGCCGAGAGAGAAAATTCGAAACTGCGAACAACGACGCGCGAAAACAGAATCCGAAAATCCTCATATTTATTTCGACGAATATCTCTGGTACTAGCAGTACTTTCAGTGTAACACTTGCTCTTCTCTCTTCCTCCTTCTGTGTCGGAAAATACCATGCGAGATGGAGGAATTCAGAACAAGTGCGTAAGAGAACGAGAAAAGATAGTCGAGTGGCGAAGGAGGGTGAGTCTCGAGGGTGAATTCTCACCCTCTTCTCTCCAGGTTGGTTCATTGCGGCAGAAAGTCTGGTGGAAAAACGCGATAATGGGAATCGCGCGCGTCTTCCTCTGTCTTCGATTAGACACCTTCGTTCGACTTTCATTTCTCATCCCAGCTTTCTTCACCGAGGAAAACTGCAGGTAAGCAGATGACGGGAGGAGGACGCGAAAAGCGCGACTGGCGAAGCTCACTTTCAAATACCGTGGTTGCAAATAGCCGGGCGATTCGTCACGTAAACAACGACGCGTCCGGACGTTCATGAGTCGCAAATAAATCGCCGGGAGTTTATAAAACAATTTTCTTCGTGAGACCTCGCGTCCCCGCGTGCTTCAGCTTCGCAGCTGACGAGAATTTACCTTGGGAATGTCCGCCACAAAATCAGGCGTTATCAGAACGGACGATTCACCGGGTGATCGTTCGAGCGAAGTTCACTCGTTCCCAAATCGAATTGTTCTTCGTTGTTATCGCACGACGAGCAACAGAGAACGGTCTCAAGGCCCGTGGGACCAAAACTGCGGCGTTTCAAGGAAGTTTCGAGCCGACGAAAGAAATTCAAAACCGCGCTTCGCGTTACAAACACAGAACTCAAGTCTCGAAAACAGAATCTCAATAGGCTGCTAACACGTATTATCCTCGTATTTATCAACGACCACAAATATGCGAAGAATGCTGTCCCTCCCCTCCCCGACCCTCCCGTTTCCCCAGTCCCTCTGTACTCTCTCCCTCTTTCTCGTCCCGCAAAATATCTCACCGACTGAGAAATTGGAAATCCGCGAAATTCGCGACGAACACGCGTTCGCCAGTCTCACGTTGCAGAAATTTGTTGTCGGGCTCTCTGAATCACGCAATCGCGACTCTTCATTGAGGAGAGCCGATCATGAGGACGTCCAATCGACCTAGCAGCTGATCGAAGACAGTTTTTGAGGACAATCTCGCCGCGATTGCGATAACAGATAAAATGAGAAGAGAGATTGAAACGATAAATAAAAAACGACCTACGCGAGACTCAAAACGACGATTCGGCTGGGCTTTCTCGCGATTTCTCTTCGACGAAGAGGCGCGACCTCGAGATCGAGTCAGACACAAAATGTCACCTCCTGGAGAGCCGGCTGGAGGAGCCGGAGCGTTCGCGTCTCGTCGAGCCGATTTGAGCCTCGCGCGATTCAACGACAAGCTGTGCAGAATTTACCTAACGTATGACGATCGCCATCCCTGTCGGCATCCCTCTCGGCATTTCGATTGGCGAGATTTTCGTTGAGAACTCCGTAGTCTTTTTGTCTTCTCCCTGCTCTTCTGTCCTTATCAGCGTGCAACTCGACGAGGATCGATGTCAGGTGTGAAGCGAAATAAACCGCCTTCTCGTCGTAGAGACAGCATCAATCACGTTTATGATACGTGTCAGATGGACAACGCGACCGGATTGAGACCTGCACATGTACACACGCCGCCACGGTCGTAATATGCATGTATAAATATTTCGTATTTTACAGACTTATGTATATATGTGTGTACACGCGCTCAAGAGCATACGACGTAAGCGGCAAGCAGCAAGAGCGCTCTATTTCGACTGACAGCGAAACATTTCGCTCTGAGTCCCAAAGTATTGGAAACTACCAGGCCATCTACTGAATACTGTAGGGGCAGTTACCATCTCTACTTTCTGGCAGAAGGCCAGCCCTAGTCGTCTGTCCAATAGTAGTCGCTCAGGGCAGTCGTTCAGGTTCATAGAGATGCTGTCGTCACAGGCATCGCCCCTTCCTCCCCCCCTCCCCTTCTTACTTGGCTTGCAGAGTTTGCTCCAATTCTCCCTCGCGCTTCTTCTTTCACCTATTCACTAATTTTCTCATTTACGGACGCATGTGGGTCATTCGTCCTCGCGGTCCGAAGAGCTCCACGCACCCCCATTATCGCGCGGATCTCGCGCGTTTACCTAAACGTCATTATCCCTTACGCTGGGCAACACCAGCTCGCTGCGGAGGATTCGCGGCTGTGCCGCTATGCAAGTTCCGTTAGCTTTTTTTCTTCTTTTTTATATCGAGGAATTCTGTTTTTATCTTCCGCTCTTTTTTGTCTTAACTTTTATGCGAATCTCCGGAATTTTCACCGTAAGGTATTAAACGCACGTGAGAAAACTCTACACTGTTAAAAAAGTTCTTAAAAACAGTAGCACTTTTGTAAGTAAATTTAAGAATTTGATATTAAAATTAATAATAATGAAGATTTTCATAACATTAGGATTATTAGTTATAAATTAGTTATAATATTTCTTATTATCTTATGAAATCTAATCTTTTCTATCTTATATTCCATGTTTTCTTATTAAATTCCATATTAAATTATGAAATATCATAACACGTTATATGTTGGAACAATTTTTCTAATATATCATAAATTCGAGGCTGTTCGGTCACATGGCCTGAAAGATTCAGTTTGTAAAGCATCGTGGCCTTTATCGAGATTTCAACGGAGCTATCCAGAAGTCTCTTAATCAATTCTAATTATAATTTTTCATAACTATGTGTTATTAAATATGATATTGCTTTTATTATTTTTTATATCATAGTTATGTAAAAAAACTTCACATTCCAGTTATTAAATTTAATACAAAGTTTTCTAAAAGTGTAGGCGAAGAAGGCAGCAGCCGTTCTCTAATGATCATCAATCATACAAGTAATTGGTATATATACAGCGACATCTAATAAATTTCCCAGCAATTTAGCCGGCATCCGAATCGAAACAGCCAACACTGTTCCCCGCTTTTTTTTGCGTCTTCGCCCTGATTCCGGACTAGCGTGAAATCCACATTTGTAGAGTTTACAGTAATGGAGACCTTTTTCTGTCTAACAAGGCATGTCTTCACTCCTACGCCGACAGCCGCACCCTTTCCCGAAAAGCGCCCATCCAGCCCGACAAAAACGACAGAAAGGTCCTATCGAGATGTGAGATATTTTGGCTTCTTCTAAAACAGGAACAGAAGCTGATTCACGTGTACATGAGATGCGCCTGTCTTCTCTCTACGTAGCATAGGACGCGAGTATCCTCCGCAAATCTCCGATCAATTCGCGAAGAAGAACTGTAAAAATGAAGAAGCACAATATGCTTGCTCTCTAAATCCCTCAAAATTTCATTCAAGAAATGGAGGGACCGCCGAGTCGCTCGAATTCGATTTTGCACTCGTATGAAACGAATTTCCCACTTCGAATTATCGAGCGAATTTTCACATTTCGAAATCAGATCGTCGTCTGTTTTACTCGACAAACACGACAAACCTTTTGCATCAATCTAATATTATAATATATAACATATAATATTATAATATTAATATTATATATATATATATATATATATATATATATAATAATATATAATATATAT